ATATATAATTAAAATGAGCATAAAATATTTCGATACATGCCAAAATTCGCTTTGAATTTCACTAAATTATTCCTTCTGGGCTTGTAGAGTTATTGTAAAGTCATATTTTTTTGTTTTAAACAGTTTTACTACATAATGACAGAATGAATATTTTTCCATCAACAAGTGCCCCACAATTGTTTTCACACAGCCGCAAAAAACATGCGACCAGGTTCCCACAATAGCTTCCCCGCTGCAGTTCCTGGGACAGCGCAGCTGCAGCTACGCTAAACAGACCCTTAGTGTTTAGAGACAAGCTTTTAGATTTGTCTTGCACTAACAACCGCCGTTACAAATGTTGCAGCTGCGCTAAACAGACCTTTAATGTTAGAAACAAGCTTTTAGATTTGTCTTGCACTAATTAAAACAGCCGGCAGTACAAATGTCCGGTTCACAGCCTACTTGAGTTGCCAACGCGGAACCCATCAATAAAAGAGAGGCTGCGTGAAGCGCCCACCCTCGAAAAAATATTACATCAGTACTACGCACGTACAATAACACATGAATAACACGCAATAACACATGAATAACACGCAATAACACATGAATAACACGCAATAACACATGAATAACACGCAATAACACATGAATAACACGCAATAACACATGAATAACACAGGAGAGAATATTCCCCGTGTTACTGCGCCATTTTTTTTGCTCTACCGCGCGAGATATCGTGGCGTGTTTTGATTGGCTACGCACGTTATTTTTGCGTGCGTAGTACTGTACTGATGTAATATTTGGTGTTTTGATTGGTAGTGCGCCAACCAATTTGGCCTGCCGCCGCTTCCTCATGTTCTCTACTTTTCCTTCCTCCTTCGCATCAATGTTTTTAATGCCTTTATCCCTCCCCATTATCATTTCCCTATCAGATAAAGTCGGTGTAATTTTTATAAATGGGATTGTGGATTTTATTTCGCGGAATTTTGGTGACAATTGTGAGAAGATAAGAGGGGTTCGTGGCCCCTGTCGGAATCCTAATTTTATTCGGCAGCGGCCTGGTGCAAGCAATGGAGGGGGTGGGGGAGGGAGAGGCGGAGACGGAGAGGCTGATGGAGGAGGTGGCTGTGCTGGACTTTGACATGCTTTGCGCTGCTGTGGCGCTTCAGACGCAGGGAGTGAAGGTGGAGAGGAGGATAGAGAAGGAGGAGGAAGAGAACCGGGGGGATGATGAGCTCGGTGGGGTTCAGAGGATGTGGGAGGGGGACGTGCTCGGATGCCTTGAAGACCAACGGATCGCCATGGAGGCCGTGTGGTGAGCTTGAGATTTCTGTCATGATTCTGTGCTCATTTGAGATGAGGGTGGGCTTTGATTTGTCATATGCGTTGTTTTTCTTTCAGTTTGGTCTACATTTATTGACTTTCCTAAATAAGAAACTTTTTTGCGTTTTTTTTCCTTCTTTCTTTTTTTTTTTCTAATTTTTTGATTTATGGGGTTTGGTAATTTTGTTTGGGTGATGGGTCACTTGCTTTTCTTTTTGTTAAAAAGGAAGCAATCGTTTTTGCAGAGTTCTATATGAGAGTTAAAACTTTTGATGCTTGCAGTTGCCCATGCTGTAGATTTGGGAAGAATATGGGTAGAGCTGGCCTAGGGCCTTGTTTCCTCCAGGTGAGCTGGTTATTGTAATTTCTGTTTTAGCTGACATGATATACATTCAGAAGACTTTTTCAATTGCTTTGAAGCTATTGTGGGTCATATTTAAAGGATAAAATTGCAAGTGATGAAACAATGCGCCTATACATTTTAATCCTTACCACTAGAAATCATCTAGACATTAACTTCATTGATGATCTTAGCAGCCCCACTTGTGACAGCACACGGAGAATGTAATTTTAATCAAGCTGTCGTAGGTTAGGTGAGTTTGAAGGCAACTCTTCCATTGGTGATGTGACAATTTTTTTTTTTTTTGTAAATGATACCGGAGTTAACCCGACGTTGGAAGCAAATATTATTAAGCAAATAACTAGAAGTACAATGAAGGCTCGAATATCAATGAAAACAAAACAATGACAACTAGACTAGTAAGAGCCAGCTATGGCCTAAGACAAATGTCTGCAAACATCGGCGGTGAGGCAGGTGTAGTCCGTGGATGTGAGTGAAGGGGGCAACAAGTGCGGGTGGTTGCTGGAAGATGAAGGGCAGCAGGCACTGTAGCGTTGGCCGGGGGGGGGGGGGGGGCGCGA